CCTGATGTCATCCCTTTCCTTCATCTTTTACATCTTCCCCCAGTTTAATTATATTTCCGCCACAAAGCTCTGGCGTCTCATTCCGTATTCCAGTCGGACGAGGAAGCATTTACAGAAGAGAAAGGTGTGGATGCAGCCGGGGTGGGGGAGGGGCCCTCGGGTCTCACCTGTATGGAAAGTCGGCTTGCGGGGTCCGCCCACGCAGCGCTGGGGCCTTTGGGTGTCGGGCTCTGCTGGCGGGGACGCCCTCGCCCTCAGACTGGGGATCCACGGGGTGAGGTCCCCCCAAGAGCCCCATTCATGGGAAAGGGGGGCGCGGTCAGTGCCCAAAGGGAACGTGTCCTGCTGATCTCTGACAGACCCCTTGGAAGAACCAGTCAACTGACCTCCTCACTCGGGCCCCATATCCCGGCCTCCCAGGCCCTGCAAGTCCCCCAGAACACCCCAGAGTGGGCCCCGGTGACCATCACGGACGCCTCCTGAAGTTCCCGGGGCCTTTGGGAAGGGTGGGGGCTGTGCAGGGGGTGCCGGGATGGGGCTGCACAGAACGGGACCCCAGGCCAGCCCCTGCAGCAAGTCCCTGGTGGTGTTCTCCCCGGGGGCTCTAGTGCCAACCAGGGTGTCGCTCCCATGTACAGGCAGAATCGAAATGCAGATGGCTTCCTTTACTCTGAGAGTGCCGGCTGGGAAAGGCTCTCCCTGACCAGCGCCTTTGTTCCGGATTGTCGGGGCTGCCCCCCTTGGAGGGGTGGGGGGAGGCCAGGTAAGGGCAACAGCTGAGCCCAGCTCCGCCCCCCCACAATAAAGGGACGGCCCTGAGCACTGTCCTAGGGTGAGGCTCCAGACGTCCAGGGAAAGGGGAGGTTCGCAGCACAGAGCTCCTTAAATTGAATGATACAATTATAAAATTATCTCCACGTAATTAACTCAGGATTAGTTTTCATTCCGGTTAGCATGGAATCAAACCCGCGATGCTCTCAGCCCGGGGAGCAACTGGCTTCAGAGTCCCCCAGACAAAGGGGCACGCCACACCCAGGCTCAGAATGCCCCTTGTTCCCAGGGGAGGGCATGGGGGGGTGTCTGGGGCAGCTGCCCTGTCTCCCCACACTCCCACCGGCCCTGGGAGCCGAGGGTGGCAGAGACTGTGGCCAGGGCAGAGAGACTGGCTTGTACAGGGATCTAGCTGGGCAGAAGAACCAGGCCTTGGCCTGCGCCCACGCAGGCCAAGGCTGTCCCAGAGGCAGTATCTGGCACACAGTGAACCCGGGTTCAATCTCGGACAGAGCGTTCCATCCCCAGGAGTGAGCCCTGAGCACCACCGGGTGGGGCCCAAAAGACAAAAATCAAAACCAAAGACGCCACTCCGGGGCCTAGTACCGGACACGCCGGCTCCTCCTTGGCCCGGCCCCCTCCCTACCCACACCCTGCGCAGCTGCTGAGGGCCACCGTGGTCACCAGGAGCAAAGGGAGGCCCCCAATACTGGCACACTCGGGGGGGGGGGGGGGCGTGTTGCAGGAGGTTGTGACCTTGTGAGGTATCTGCTGGGGAGCAGGGGCCCATGGCCCAGCAAAACTCCCTTGCAGGAGCGCTTGGGTAAGGAGCTGTAACCCCCCCAGGCAAACTTCCGGAGTCTGGGAGGAGGGGACACTGGGAGCGGTCCCCTCTGTCTGCATGGGATGGAAGTTAGAAACTCCAGATCTCTCCAGTTTCCACCCAGATCCCTGCCCCCTGGGGGTGTAGGCTGGGACCGTCCTCTGGGCGGCCTGCAGGGCCTTTGCTGTGTAGCCGGACCTGGACAGAGTTGGGGCCTGCCGGGGCCAGGCGAGGGGGCGGGCAGGGCTTTCCGGCCAAGTTGGGGGAAGCGGTGGGTCCGGTGGGCCCCCGGTGGAAGGACAGCGACACAGAAGCCCCTGGCCGCTGCAGCCTGTGCTCACCCATCCAGAGAGCAGAGAAAGGGGAGGAGAGAGAGGAAGGGAAGTCAGCGCGGGCTAGAGGTGGGGGACGCCGGACAGTCCTCTCCAGACAAAGGACTTGGCGGGAGGAGAGAACCCGACGCCCGCTCAAACGCCAAGCCCAGGCCAGTGCCCGCTGGCCCGGCCGCTGCCAAGTTGCCCGTCTGGACAGAAGGGCGGAGCAGGGCGCGCGGGCGGGATGGAGAGGGGCCGCGCGCAGGCCGTACTTCCCGCGCCCAGGCCGGGCGCTGCCCGTGACCGTTAGCGCTGCGGGCAAGGCGGGCTCAGCCCCCCGGAGGCGGCGAGGAGGTGCAGGGCCCGGCCCAACGGTTCCCCCTCTACCCGGGGCTGGGGGCTGGGGGCCGGGGAGCGCCCACCCGGGCGCGCGCAGGCGACTCCGCCTGATTAAGCCTCATCATCGGGTGACGAGCGGCGTGACAGTCCCGCGCCGACGCGCGTCCCGGCCGCGGGGGCTGCGGGGGTCCCACGTGGGCGCGGGGCGCGGGTTCCGGGGCCGCGCGCTCGCTCGGCGGCCGTTTTCGGCAGAGGCGGGACGGTCGGGGCCTCGGGCCGAGCCGCCGCCCAGCTCGGCGGGACGCGCAGGCCAGGCCTGGGCGCCCGCACGACGCGCGCCGCCTCGTCCCCGAGCCGCGACCCGCTGGCCCGGGTGCGCGGGAACCCCGCGGGCCTGGCCAGTGTCCGCCGCGCCGCGCCGTCCCTCGCTGCCTGGAAGGCCGTCGCCTTCCGTCTTCGGCCACGGGAAGGACAAAAGGGGCCCCTGCCAGAGCGGGTGTCCGCTGCCCGCACTGGGCTGGCCACGGCGCCTACGGGGGCAGGCATAGGGGACCCTCTCTGGGCCCAGGACGGCGGGGCTGGGCACAGCTGCCCCTCTGCCTGGCTGCCCCTGCAGCCCGCTGGGAAACTCGTAAAACTGCGGGCGGATACTTCTTCAGGAAGCTGGCTGTCCCCACTCGCTGCGAGGCTGGGGTGGGCCGGAGCGCCCAGGCGGAGGGCAGGGACCGCCACTGTCTGCTCACACCCAGCTGGCCCAGGAGCTCAGCCAGTGTCGCACCTGAGGGCTCTCAGCGGGGTGACTCTGCCGCTGGTGAGTTTGTAGCAGCGCGCGGCCACTGTTGGGCACAGCTGTGGCCTCTGGTCTGCACTGCGTGGGTGCCGCGGAGGTCCTCCAGGGTCAGTTCTTGAAGCTCTCCAAAGTCTGCCCTGAAGATGCCCAGAGGCTGATGCCCACCCAGGTGGGGCTGAGGCCTGACACCTCGAGACCCCAGCACTTCCAGGGCTCCAGATTTCTCCAGTCAGGCAACTCGGGTTCTTCCCCACCGCCTGCCTGTCCTCCCAGTCCCTTGCCCGTGACCTCCTCTGCGGCCCCCACCCCCATGACACTTCCTGAAGTGAGACCTCTGGGGCGGACCATTAGGATTTAGGAATTCTTCACTGGAAGACTGGCATTTGGAGATGCATCGGCACGAGGCTCCCAGCCCTGCGCTAGCACTCAGGACTGCCCACGCCCTGAGACGCAGACGGGGCCAGGCGGAGGCCAGAAGGGAGATGCAGACACACGTCCTGGCACTCTACGTCCCGCAGTCGCTAGTTTACAAAAAGTTCTTTTTTTCCTTTTTTTATTTAAGGTAATCTTGGAGAATTCAAACACACAAAACTGCAGGGGAAGTGCTCACAATTTTGATAAACACAGTTGTAAATAGAAACATTCATTTCTTATAAGATTATAAATATTTGATACTGGAACTGTAAAATGCACGTTTTATAAACAAAAAAAATTAAAAAAATAAACAGAAAAAAAAAACCCTTTTGCTTCCTGCTAAAAAGGCGTATCTCATCGCATACCTCAGCAGCAGATGGTCACTCACAGAAACTTAAATTACAGCTTTCGTTTTCATAGTTTCCTTCTGGAAGAGGTTTAGACTAGTATGTACAAAGTAAAACTCATGGCAGGGAAATAAAGCGGTTTAAGGCAAAGAGAGGGTCCCCTCAATCGCAGCCGGCCGGGGCTGCTGCCGCCACGGGGCGCCCAGGGCTGCCCGGCCGGCCAGAGGGACCCGTTCTTTCACACAAACGGAGGATGCATGGACGTAAGAGAGATGGTCTGCTTATATATATATATGTACTTGGAGGGGATATATTGGATATATTTAATTTACACTGTACCACACCTTCAAAAAATAAAATGTATATTTTAAAAAAAACAAGAAAAGACAAAAAAAGTGATTAGAAATGGTTATTTACACGTTTTTTCTTCCTCCCTCCAGGTTCCAGAGGCTTCTGAGTTCTTTTCAAAGTCCAGGTTGCCTGTGTTCTGGGCAGCGGACACGCACGCGCGGCCGCTCTGAAAGGCCACGGTCGCAGGAGGAAGACGGGGCAGGTCCCGGGGTGCCCCCGCACCCCTGCGAGCGGGCGGGCACCGGGCAGAGAATGGTTGTCCCAGCAGGGCCCTGGGCCGCCCCTTCACCCAAAGCGGGTCTGGGGAGGAGAGTCGGCGCTGGTGGACTAGACGAACAGAGGAGGACGGAGCACACAGGGCAGGGCAGGCCCGGGCAGGGGGAGAGCCCGGAGGGGTGGGCTGGCAGCGAGGGGTGGGCTGGCAGCGGGGCCACTCCTGGGGGCACCCCACAGTCCGCTGGTCCGGTCGCTGCTGGGCCTGGGGGCAGGGCCTGACGACGCAGCCCTTAGCACACGCAGAGACAAAGTGGCCGAATTCGGAGAGCAAGTAGGAGCTATTTCTTCTGTTCACAGTCGTGTGAAATGCAGCAATAAAATCTTTGGACTTCAGCAAGTTGTTTTAACTTTTTCTTCTTTTGAAATTAAAACAAAACAAATGTTCGATGTCCCATCATGAAGATCAGGGGGGTTAAAAAGATCAAACTTTCAGCAGCCCCTCCAAAAAAAAAAAAAGGAAAAAGAAAAGAAAGGAAAAGAAAGAAAACCTTCAACAGCATCATCCCGTCGTAGTCGTAAACAAACAAAAGACCACCTGGAGAACCGAACCCGGTGCCTGGCGGGGCTCCTGCCGCCTACTCGCTGTCGGACTTGCCCTCGCGGGCCGTGGTGGAGTGGTTGTAGAGGCCCTGGGCCATCAGGTGCACCGCCAGCGTGTTCTTGCTGCCCGTGGCCTTCTTGATCTTGGCCCGCTTGTTCTGGAACCAGATCTTGATCTGGGACTCGTTGAGGCTGAGCTCCTGGGCCAGGCTCTGGCGCCGCTGTTCCGTCAGGTACCTGTTGGTCTGGAACTCGGCCTTGAGCCGCTGCAGCTGCTCGGCCGTGAAGGCCGTGCGTGGACGCTTGTCCTCCTTGTTGGGGTTCTTCTTCTTTGGTTTGCGGGACCTGGGGCCTGGGGGCAGAGCGGCAGAGGCTGAGCGGAAGGTCGCGGGGCTCCCGTCACCGCAGCCCTGGGGGAGGGGCTCGGCCCGGCTGTGCTTGGGGGTCCAGCTGGGCCCCAGGGAGGGAACACCCCAACTGGGTCTCGTCTTGGGTTGGAAGGACAATCCTGGCGGGAGAACCCCCCATCTGGCTCCGCCTTTGGGATCTGGCTGATGGGTGGGGGGGGGGCTTAGAGACAAGGCTGGAGTCCCCCCACGCCTGCCTCTCAAGTTCATTGTTCCTTCCAGCCTGGCCACGACCTTCCTGGGTGAAAGAAGCCCCCCCCCCCACGGCCACCAAACACCCCGGTCAAGGCCCCAACTCCAGCTGCCTCCAGCTGGGGCGCCTCAGGGAGGTCTCACGGGGCCCAGTGACCTTGGGCAAAGGGTTCACGACCTCCCGAGGCCCTCCCCCCTCCAGGGCTCACACTTGCGTCCCCCCCCCCCACATGGCCCTTGCTAAGGCTCCGGACTGGGGGGAGTCTGTTTTCTGGGTGTCTGGAGAAGCAGCAGGGCCAAGGCCAGGCCGAGCGTGAGGGGGGTGGGGGACAGACCCCAGGTCTCCCCCTGCCCTTCCTTGCAGGCGGTCCAATCCCAAAGCAAAGAATGGTGGGGCTGGGACTCGCCTTGCAAACTGTGCTCCCGGCGGGGACAGGGCCCTGGGCCCAGGCCTCACCGCAGAGCGTCACCAGCGCGGGGCAGGCACCTGGCGCGAACTTAGCGGGTGCAGATCTGGGGGTGAGGAGCCTGGTCTTAGGGGGCCCGGGAGGGAGAGGCGTGCAGGAAGCCTCGGAGCCGGGGATGCCGCAGCCCTGCGGCCTCTCCGCCAGCCTCTCACTCCCGGGCAGCGCGCCGCGGCCCCCAAACTCCTCGCGCGCTCTCGCTGAGCCCCGCGAACTGGCCTCCAAAAAGACCCGTTTTCACAGAAAAGAGATCTCGCGCCCATCAGAAATTTTAGGTCCTTTTCTTTCAAAAGGCAAACCGCGCCGAACCGTCCCCGCGACCGACGACGGAGCGGCACGGGGAGGCAGGGACCGCGCGGGGCGGCGGGCAGCGGGCCGGGATCCTCCCGCCTGGACACACAAAGCCCATTGTGGGCCTCTATGTTAATTAAATATTAACAAAGGACGCGGCAGAACAATGGAGCAAATTTCAGATCTAGCTGCAGAAATTTGGTTTCCTCGGAGGAACGCACGCGGCCGAGGGGGCCGGGCGGCTGCGGGGCGCTGCGTGCGGACCCGCGGGCCCGGCAGGACTGCGGGGTGCCGGGACCCCGCGCTCACGGCGGTTCTCGGCCGCAGCCGCTGCCCCAGGAGTTGCCCAGCTCGGGGGAAGCCGGGGGCTGCGCGCCTCTCTGCGGCAGGGACCCCCAGGCCCGCCGGGTGGGCGCTGCGCGGAGGCGGGGTCCCCTCCATCCTCCGGGCCGCCCAGGGGACCCCGCACTTTCCTTCCGGGGTCCCTGGGAGCGAGTCAGGGCAGTGGGGCCCGGGCGGCCCCGCTGGGGTGGGACGCGGCTCCCGCCGGGGACACGCGCGGTCGGTCAGACCCCCGAGCGAGCGAGCGAGCGAGCGCGGCAAGTCGGGCGCTGCGGAGCGCGCGGCGGCCCTTCCGCCCGGGCGCGCTCCCAGGCCGGCCGGGCAGCCGGCCGGCGCCTTTGTGTGCTGGGGACGGGGGCGCCCCGGGGTCCCCGGCTCCGGAGAAGTTCCCGCGGGCCCAGACTCACCCGACGAAGGCCGGTCGGAGTAGCGCGTGCAGTAGACCCAGGCGGGCCAGAGCATGGGCTGCGCGCCCAGGTTGGCGCCGGGCTGGGAGCTGTCGGAGTCGGAGCTCAGCGACACGTCCCCGGCGCCCGCGCCGCGGGCCCCGAGCGCCCCGTCCAGCGCGCCCGCGGGGTCGCCGGCCTTCTTGGCGCCGCCGTCGCCGTCGGCCGGAGCGTCGCCCTCGCCGGCCGGGAGCGGGCCGCCGGCCCCGGGCGCGCAGGGCGCGTTCAGCCGCGGCTCCCGGGCCGAGCCCCGGAGCTGCTCGGCGACGCCGCCGCCGCCGCCGCGAGCGCCCCCCGGGCCCGCGCCCCCCGGCCCCGCGTCCTTGCGCCGGCCGAACTCGGGCCGCAGGATGTTGTCGATGAAGAAGTTGGTGACGCGGTGCGGGAGCTGGTGGTTGCCCGGCGCGGGCGGCGCCGCGGGCAGCATCCGAGCGCGCCGGCGGCCGGTGTCCGCGTCCCCGCCGGGCTCGGGCGCCGCCGCCGCCGCCGCCGCCTCGCCGGGCTGCGGCTCATCCTCCTCCATCCCGCGCGCGCGCCCCGGGGACCCCGCACCCCCGCGGCCAGCCGAGTGCTCCCGCGTCCTCCGAGCGAGCGCGGCGCGGCGGCCGCGGCCAGGGCGGGCGCGCCCCGAGCCCCCGCCGCGCGGCCGAGAGCGGGGGGCGCCCCGCGGCGCGCGCCGGGGGGTCCGGCCGGCGCCGGGCGGTCACGGGGGTCCGGCGGGGGCCGCGCGGGGCCGGCGCCGGCGCATGCAGGCCGCCCCCTCCGGGCCGCTCGCGCCCCCCCGCCGCCCTCGCCTGCGCGCCCCGGCCGGGCCTCGAGGGTGCGGGGCGCCCGCCGCCGCCCGCACGCACATGGGGGCCGGGGCGCCCCCGCCGAGCCCCGCCGCGCCCCGCGGCCCCTGGCGCATGGGGGGCGCGCGCCGGGCCGGGACCCGCGCTGCGAGCCGTCTGCGCGCGGGCTGCGACTCCGCCGCTCGGCGCCGCGGACGCTCTCGCGCTCCGGATTTTTGTTCTTATTTTAACCGAGCCCCCTCGAGTGACGTCGCGGGCCGGTCTCGGGGACACGTGCCTCGGGCCAATGACCGCGCCGCCGCGCGCCCACGTGACGCGCCGCCGCCGCCCGGTGACAGCCGCGCGCCCCTCCCCCCCTTAAAGCGGCCGCGCGCGGGCCCGGCCACGTCCCCGCGTGGCGGGGCGCGGGGGGCGCCCCGCGCCGGGGGTGCCGGCCGGCGCCGCGCCGCGCGAGCGCGGGTTCGGGGCGCCCCCGCGTCGGGGGCCGTGGGCGAGAATCCCACAATTCCTCGCACAGAAACGCGTCGCCGGTCGGAACCGAGCCGGCGAGATACAAAGGGGGCGCCGTGCCCGCGTCCGCGGCCGGAGCGGGGGCGCCGGGGCCGCTCGCGTCGGACCGGCCCCGCGCGCGCGGGCGGCGTGCGGGGCGCGGGCCCCTGCGGAGAGCCCCGCGCTCGCTCGCTCGGCGGCCCCGGCGCGGAGCGGAACCGAGGGCCCGGCCCGGCGACGGCGCGACGGCGTTTATTCCCGAGAAGGGAGCCGGGCTCAGCCCGAGAGAAGCCCCGCCAGGCTCTCTGCGCCCCGCGCGGCACCCCACGGGCGCTCACCTCAATCTCTTTGTCTTGCTGGTGTTAGTTTCCCCCGGAGAGCAGGGCTCTAGGGGTGGGGGGCGGCAATTGGACCCAAAAGTGAGAATGCAGCCCGGTCCCCTCCTCCCTAAGCGGAGAGCCGGCTTGAACTTCTGCTCCCCACCTGGCCCACGTGCTCTTTTCCCTGGCCAGCGCAGACAGCCCACCTCACACCTCGGCTGTCTCCTGTGTCTGCTTTGGGGCCACACCCAGCTAGGATGGGGCCTACCGCCCTGTGCTCAGGAGTCCTTTCTAGTGGGCCCGGGGAGCCTTGGGGGTGCAGGAGAGGCACCTTCCCCATAAAACACTTCGTTGTTCACACTCTGGGGGGGTGCTCAGAGCTCACTCCTGGCTCTGTGCTCAGGGCTTATCCCTAGTTCTGTGCTCAGGGGTCACTCCTGGTAGTGCTCGGGGAACCGTGTGTGGCCAGGGCTCAACCCCGGGGAGTGGGGGAGCTACTGCATGAAATTGCTTTATCTCTCCTGCACCCCCTGCCCTTTAAATAACATTTCGTTTTGTTTGTTTCTGGTCCCGGGGCCACCCCCCAGCAGTGCTTACTCCTGGCTCTGCACTCAAATTCCTCCTGGCAGGGCTCAAGGAACCATCCGGAGTGCTGGGGATGGAGTCTGGGTCAGCTTTGTGCAGGGCAAGCGCCCTTCCTGCTGTACTGCTGCTCTGGCCCCAGAATTGGAAATGGAAATTGGAAAAGCATCCCAAAAAGCAGCTGTGGGTTTGGGAGGGGGAAGGCGTGCCAGGCCCCGGGTGGGAGACACCTTCTAGGAGATGCCGAGGAGGTGAGCGAGAGACAGATAGGCAGGGAGGTGGCAGGGTATGGGCGCAGTCCCCCAAGGCCACCTACATTTAGGGGAGGGGGAGGAGCAGGTGCCTCTGAGTCACCTGGCCACAGGTAGCCGGGCTAGTTCCCAGAGGCCCCACCCTGTGTCTGCCGGGTAGGCACATCTCTCTTCCTGCCCCTCCAGGGGTCGGGGCTACACGGTCCACACATCCCTGGGCCTCCCTGGGTCCTCATCAGTGAAACCTGCCCAGGAACTTAGGGCTGGGCTGGCAGATCTGTGGGACTGGCCTGTTGGCTCCTGGAAAGGGGTGTCTCTGCAGCGGGGACAGGCCAGCCCCTGCCAGAGGGCAAACCTTCCCTAATTGGTTCTCTGCCTGCCCCAGAAGCAGCCAGGGCTCCTCCAGACGGTGGCCAGCTCCCTGGACCTGGAGCCTTGGCTGTCCCGGCTTCGGCATGCCCCAAGATCCGCGGCCCGCGAGGAGCACCGGGGTTCCAGCGTTCTGGGACTCAGGAACGTGAGGGACAGGTGCTCGACGAGAAGGGCAAGGGAAGGGAGAGATCCCGAGAGGACGTCAGCCCCCCCCCAGGCCCAGCGGACGCGGGAGGCTGGAGGACCCCTCCAGTTCGATGCTGCAGAAGGCGCTCAGGCCGCAGAGACGCGGGCGCGACCCCGCCAGCTCCGGCCCCGCCTCGCGCGTAGTAGTCCACGGCCCTCGGACCCGGACCCACCCACCCACCCTCGCGCCCTCGGACCCGCTGCCCGCGCCCTCGGACCCGCTCCCTGCGCCCTTGGAACCTCTGCCCGCGCCTTCGGACCCGCTCCCCGCGCCCTCGGACCCAGTCCCCGCACCCTCGGACCCGCAGCCCGCGCCCTCGGACCCGCTGCCCGCGCCCTGCGCCCCGCCGGCCGGCCCCAGACCGGTTGCTGCCGAGCGGAGCGCGCGCGCCCTCGGCCCGAAGCGCCACCCGCGTCGGGAGAAGCGCCCGGCCTGGCGCCGAGCGGGGAGCGGCCGCGGGGCCCCAGAACTGTGGCTTCGGCAGGGGAGGGGCTTCCCGGCGCCCCCCACACACACCCTGCCCCGCTCCCCTCAAGTCTCAGGGAAAACGGGCGCGGTGCCGGCCGCGTGAGCTCGCGGAGTCCTCCGCCCGCAGAGCGACTAGAGTCCGGCCGAGTCCCGCCGCCCGCTGCCCGCCGCCCGCCGCCCGCCGCAGACAAAGGCCCGAAGGCTGGGCCGGGAGCCGGTCTGTGCTGGCCCAACTCCTTCCCGTGACCCGCGCATCCCAGTCCTGGAACCTGGGGCCTGATCAGTGCCCACGGGCGAGTACCTGGAAGGGAAGTTACAGGAGGGGTAGGTAGCTCGCTGTGTGGCCCCCTTCCCAGACTCACCCCAGAGCCCGCCAGACTGGGCAGGACAGGTGGGACACAGACTGGCAAGGAGGAGCCAGAAGTGGGGCCACCCAGCGTGCCCTCCTCAGTGTGGCCCCAATGCCAGCCTTGGGGGCCTGGAAATGGGCGGGGCTGGAAGAGGACCCCCTCCCCAGGGACCGGCCCTCCCTTTGGAGCCCCGAGTGAGCCCCCACAGACAGAGCTCGCTGTGCTGCTGGGGGAGGGTCTCCCCTCTATCTCCCAGCTTGCTGGATGCAGCTGGACCTCAGGACTGTGGGGCCCCCTCCTGTCCACTGGGGGCCTCTCCTCCTTTTCCCCAGACCCAGATGCAAGACTGGCATTAGGGTGACTGCATTTGGGGGTGCTTACTTGGCTGCCTTATTGGGGGACCTTCTGGGGGTGCCTCTTGTGGGCAGCCCCTCTCCGTCAGCCTTGCTAGGTGTGGATCGAGGCAACACTCCCAAGACCAGTCCCGGGGCATGAGGAAGTACCCTGAGAATCAGCCCCAGGATGCTGGGGTGGGGTTGGGAGCTGGAAGAGCCTCTGGCTCGGGTGGGGTGTGGGGCGGTGGGCGCAGGGGTCCTGGGGCCCTGTGAGACCTGGGCTGCAGGAGGTTCCGCATCACATTCCTCGAACCCCAGAAAGGCCCCTGTGTTCCAGGGGTAAGACAGGGATGCAGCCCCCCCACCCTCCGCCTGCTGGCGAAGGCTCCCTGTGTTTGGAAATTTTAGGTAGGTTCGGATGTTAAATATAAAAACAAAAAACCACTGGGACCCGACCCAACCCAAGCACTCACACTCACGAGGACTCAGGACTCCAGCCCGGGAGTTCGGTCGGAACCGACTCGGTCATCAGCAGCAGAGATGTGGGCGGCACTCCGGAAGGTGGGAGCACCAAACTGCGCACCCAGGAGGGTTATTATTTTTTTTAGCGTATGTTCCAGTGAGTCAGGGACTAATTCTTTGATCAAATAAGTTAGGATGCAGAGTTGGACGTCAAAGGCGGAAACTAAACTTTGGGCGTCTTGATAAAACTGTCGCCCAACTCCACCGAATTGAACAGAGTCCACTATTACCAGGATGATCTAAAGCGGATCCTTCTGGAAGCTCATGGGGGGTGGAACTGCTCAACGCCAGCTTCTCCTTCACCGCCTGTGGGGAGCCGGGCTCTGAGATCCCGCTGGGCTGGGGGGCAGGGCCAGGGGCAGCCCCTTCCCGGCCCCCAGGTGCCCGCAGCGATCTGCTTGGTGGAGGCCCAGCCCTGCCCCTCTGCTCCGAATGTTGAATGTTCCCGGCTCCTTCCCACCTGCTGCCTGCGAGTACCCCAGGTCCGCCAGCCTCTGCAGGTGGGGTCCCTGGGTGCTTATGTTATGGAGTTTCTGGGCTTTCGTGTGGCATAGCAGACAGCCAGCAAGACACAACAGCTGGGGCAGCCAGCAAGGGGTTCTCAGCACCAGGCCCCCAGGAGGGCGGCCTCGCATTCCGGGGGATTTACAGCTCCCGCCTCCCTCATTAACTGCGCTCCTGGGGTGGGAGACACAGTCAGTCTCCAGGTGGGGAGGTCCGGGCCTGGGGAGCCGGGAGGCCCCAAGGCGGGTTTGCACTGGCAGGTCCAGTGTTCTGGGAAATACGCGCTCTCTCCTGGGCCTGGGCAGGGCAGCGTCCCTGGAAAGGATCTGGAAGGCGTGAGGCGGAGCCTGGGCCAGGGGAACAGAACCCCTCGGAACCCAGAGCTTCAGAACGGGGACCC